AGATTATGGTCTTGAGCCCCTAGGCTCAGCAACTTATTTCCTTAAGATGTTTGATAATATCTAGGAAGTTTTCATCATTTTGACTGCTGTATGTTCTACCACATTCATAGTTTTGTTTATAGGGAAGGTAAATACTCTTGTAAAAATATCCCCCTCCCAACTCTTACTTACTTGTGGGATAAATAAATACTCTTGTATCTCATTCTTCCTCCCTTAACCATTCAGTCTATGTCTCAGTCTATGTATCCATGCACTGAATACTGTTGTTCCAAGGTTGTATCGATATCACTATTTACCTCTATCCCCTTTAGCCCCTGCATAACTCCCTGTATCTTCTCCTACCTTCATCACTTCTGCCATCCTCCTTCTTATATATTGCTCTCCCCATCACTGCAGCTAACACGTGTTTACCCTCTAGACAGTGAATTACTCTGCCCTCTCTACCACCACTGGTAACCATCAAAGTACGTTTCTTTTAGTATGGGAATCTTTTCTTAAGCTTTTACAACAATGGTCTAGTATAATATTTGTCCTTTTGTGATTCACTAATTTCACCCAGCCTAGTGCCCTCCAGTGCATCCATGTTATGAGGCATTTCTGAGATTCATCATTATTTCTCAAGGTTGCATAGTATTCCATTGTTTGTATGTATCCAAGATTATTTATTCATTCCTCCATTGATGGACTCTTAGGCTGTCTTCATCTTTTTGTGTCGTAAATAGTGCTGAGACGAACATTGGTGATGTCATTGGAGTTTAAAGAGAATTTTGCCCCTAAAAGTTAGTTATTCTGACCATTCAATAGTGTCTGACTTCATGATATGAAGATCTAATACATGTGATTCTAATGGACTATTTTTTCTGCTTTCTTGTTTTGTTTTTTTTTTTAAGGGCCAATGTTACAGCATTTTCACAACCCGAACTAGAACAGAAGAAGCAGATTTATCTCAGGCGTGTCATTGCTCATGTAGAAGAACCTGTGGATTATAACCAAGGTAACATGCATGGTAAACAAAGAATGACATGTAAAAGATGGGTGTACTTTTTCTTTCCAGTGGAAGATTAATTCTTTTGTTATTTCCTTATATTGGTAAGAAAGATAACTTCCTTACCTAAAGATTATCACTTGAAGGGATTGCCTAACCAGATAACAATTAAAGCAGTTTGGCTTTAGAGAGAGGTCCAAGAAGACTCATGCCAGTATGTGAACAGTGTAACCCACACCTGTGCTTTTGTGAGGAATTTTTTTATCTGAAAAAGAGTATAGAAGTAGGTGACAAGGCATTGCTTTATAATCATTGGTTTTGTATTCAAAGTTATTTTTCCTGTTGCTTCAGCATTTAGATATAAAAAGAGGCAATTCAAGCACCATCCTGACTGTCATTGTTCATTGTTAGGTGCTGCTGAGTTGATCTGACTCATAGTAATCCTATATACAATGGAATGAAACACTGCATGGTGTCATCCTTGCAATCATTGCTTTTTTGAGCCTTTTGTTGTAGCTGCTATGTTAGTCCATCTTGTTGAGGTTCTTCCTCTTTTCACTGACCTACTTTAATTTACTAAACAAGATTTCTTTCTCCAGGGACTGGTCCCTTCTGATAACATGTCCAGTGTATGTGAAAGGAACTCTTGCCATGCTTGCTTCTAATGCACACTCAGACTATTTTCTCAAGACAAATTTTCTAGTTCTTCTGGTTTGTTGTTAGGTGTCATCGAGTCAGTACCAACTCATAGTGACTGTATGAACAACAGAGTGAAACGCTGTCTGGTCCTACACCAACTGCACAATCATTGCTATGTTTGAGCCCATTGATACTGCCACTGTGCCAATCCATCTCTTTGTGGGAGTCTTCCTCTTTTTCACCAACGCTTCACTTTATTAAACATGGTATCCTTCCTCAGGGACTGGTCCCTCCTTACAGTATGTCTGAAGTATGAGAGATGAAGTTTGGCCATCCTGGCTTCCAAGGAGCATTCTGGCTGTACTTTTGCCAACACAGATTGGTTTGTTCTTTGGGCAGACCATATTATTGTTAAGTGCCGTCGAGTTGGTTCCGACCCATAGCAAGGGTACCCTGTACAGGGTTTCTGAGGCTGTAAATCTTTACGGGAGCAGAAAGCCTCATCTTTCTCCCGTGGAGAAGCTGGTAGTTTCGAACTGCTGACCTTAAGGTTTGCAGCCTGATTCGTAACCGCTATGCTACCAGAGCTCCTTAAGTACCTTTAATATTCTCCTCTAACACTATAACTCAAATGCATCAATTAATTCTTCTATGGTTTTTCTTATTCACTGTCCAACTTTCACATGTATATGAGGTTATTGAAAATACCATGGCTTGGATCAGGTACATTTTAGTCCTCAGACTGACATAAAAGAGATCTTGTACAGAAGATTTGCTTAACGCAGTATGTCATTTGTTTTCTTGACTGCTGCTTCCTTGAATGTTGATAGTTGATCTGAGCAAAATGAAGTCTTTGAAGCTTCATCTTTTTTCCATTTATCATGATGTTGTTTCTTAGTCCAGCAGTGATGCTTTTTGTTTGCATGATGTTGTTTATTGGTCCAGTGGTAAGGCTTTTTGTCTTCAGTATGAGTGCAACCCATACTGAAGGCTGTGGTGTTTGATCTTAATCAACAAGTATTGTAAGTCCTCTTCACTTTCAGCAAGCAAGGTTGTATCATCAGCATATCACAGGTTGTTAATGAGTCTGCCTCCAATCCTGATGCCACATTTTTATTCATAAAATCTGTATTCACAGACTATGTGCTTGGCATACAGATTCAATAAGCATGGTGAATACAACCCTGGCACATACCTTTTATAATTTTAAACCATTCGGTGTTCCCATGTTCTATGTGAACAACTGCCTCTTGGTCTATGCTCATGGTTCCTCATGAGTACAATAAAATGTTCTGGAATACTCATTCTTCGTAATTTTGTCCATAGCTTGTCATGATCAGAAGCCTTTGTGTAGTTAATAAAGCACAGGTAAACATCTTTCTTGTATTCTCTGCTATCAGCCAAGATCCATCGGACATCAGCAGTGATACCTCTTTTTTCTTATCTTTGTCTGAATCCAACTTGAACCTCTGGCAGTTCTCTGTCAGTGTACTGTTGCAGCTGTTGTTAGATATCTTTAGCACATTTTTACTTATCTAAGATATTAATGGTATTGTCCGATTTCCGAATTCCATTGTGTCACTTCTCGTTGTAATGGGTACAAATAAGGATTTCTTCCAGTCAGTTGTCCGGGTCTTCCAAATTTTTTGGAATAGATGATTGAGTGGCTCCAGGGCTTCATCAGTTTGTTGAAAGATTTCAATTTGTATTCCATTAATTCCCAGTGCCTTGTTCTTTGCCAATGCCTTCAGTGCACCTTGGACTTCTTCCTTCCAGATCATTGGCTCTTGATCATATGCTAACTCTTAAAATGGTTGAACATCGATCATTTCTTTATGGTAGAGTGACTGTGTTCTCCTTCCATCTTCTTTTGATACTTTCTGCATCATTCAATATTTTGCCCATAGAATCTTTCAGTATTGCAAGTCAAGGCTTGAATTTTTCCTTCAGTTCCCTAAGCTTGAGAAATGCTGACCGTGTTTTTTCCTTTTGGTTTTCAAACTCCAATTTTTGCACATTTTCTTGTAATATTTGACTTTGCCTTGCCAAGCTGACCTTTGAAAATTTCTATTTCACTCTTTTACCTCATTTCTTCCATTTGCTTTTGCATCTCTGTGCTGGATATCAAGTTTCAGAAACTCTTCTGACATCCATTTTGGTCTTTTCCTTCTTTCTTGTCTTCTTAATGACTTTTTGCTTTCTTCCTGTATGATGTTCTTGATGTCATCCCACAACTTTTCTGGTCTTGGGTCTTTAGTGTCTAATGCATCAAATCTGTTCTTCAGATGATCTCTAAATTCAGGTGGGATTCGTTCAAGGGCATATTTTGATTCTCGTGGACTTAAAAAAATTTTTTCACCTTCAACCTTAGCTTGCATATGATAACTGATGGTCTGGTCCACAGTCTGCCCTTTGCCTTGTTTTGGATGATGATATGGAGTTTTCCCAGTCTTTTTCCACAGATGTAGTCAGTTTGATTTCTGTATATTCCGTCTGGTGAGGTCCATATTTATTAGTCGCCTTTTATGTTGTTTGCAAAAGGTATTTATAATGAAGACGTCATTGGTCTTGCAAAATTTCTCATGCAATTTCCAGCATCATTTCTGTCACATATTTTCCAACCTTTGTATTCCATTCACTAGGAATTATTAGTACATCTGTATTGCATGTTTGATCAATATTAGACTGAAGAAGGTGGTAGAACTTTTCAGTGGTTGGTGCATAACTTTGAATAATAGTGGTATTAACTGGTCTTCCTTGTAGGCATATGGATATTATCCTATCACATACAGCATTGTGCTTCAAGACAGATCTTGATATAGTCTTTTTGATGATGAATGCTGTGCCATTCCTTTTTAAATTGTCATTCCAGCATAGTAAACCATGTGATTGTCAGATTCAAAATGGCCAATACCAGTCCATTTCAGCTCACCATATGAATATCAATGTTTATGCATTCCATTTCATTTTTGGCAACTTATAATTTTCCTAGATTTGTACTTCATACATTCCATCTTCTGATTATTAATGGATGTTTATGAATGTTTCTTTTCATTTTGAGTTAGGCCCCACATGCAATTGAAGGTCCCCCAAGGCTTTACTCCGTTCGTGTCATCACCATCAACTCTACTTTGAGGAGGCAGCTCTGTCCCAGTGCCTTCCAACCTGAGGGGCTAATCTTCTGGCACTGTATCTGACAGTATTCTGGTGCTCTTCATCATGTTTCAGTAGTCAATATTCTGGTGGTGTCTGACAGTGCTCACTAGTATTCATAAGGATTTCAGTGACTAAATATTAGGAAGTAGTTCATCTCTGCTTCTTCGTATTCTGTCTTTGTCTGAAAGTTTATCTGAAGCATGACTACCATGTTTGACCCTGCTGGTATTTAAAATACCAGTGGCATAACTTCCAGAATCACAGCAACATGTAAGGCACTGCCACATGATAAACTGACAGGTCAGTTTTCCTGGTAGTCCATGTTATAGTCAATATTCATCAACACTGTAATTCAAAAGACCAGTTTCTGGTCATCTTTATTCATTGTCCAGCTTCCATAGGCATATGAGGTGATTGAAAATACCATGGTTTGGGTCAAGGACACCTTTGTCCTAAAAAAATGACATCTCTGCTTTTTAACACTGTAGGTCTTTTGCAGCATATTTTTTCTGCCTCTTAGCATTCTGAATAAAAATTCGAAAGACTTCCAGATACATCAAGTTGAATTTTCCTCCCTAGTCATTGGAAGCTATTACAAGCCACAGTCATTAGGTTCATTTTCCAGGCCTAAAGAAACAGTAGTCCACCTACCATTTATTTTGAATATATTGGCTGATGAGAAAATTCCTAAAGGGAAACGTGGGTAGAACTGAAGGTGCAGAGGTTGAGGAGATACTGATAAAATAATTACTTCTGATAAAGATCACTACATATTCTATTATCTTTAGCTATTCATCCTACTCACTCAGCAAGACTTTCTCGAGTACCTTCAGTGGTGCCAGACTTGATAATTAGGAATTTAAAATGTAATAAGGAGTAATACAGAGTTTTTCTGTTAAGTGCCCTCGAGTTAATTCTGACCCATATTGACTCTGTATATGGTTTCTGAGAAACGAGTGGTGGGTTTGAACCACTGACTTTGCAGTTCAAATTGACCTTGTAGTGCAGCACATTATCCTGCAGTGCCACATCAGGACTCCATATCTACTACCTGGCTGAAAATTGAGCCTCATGGTGAGTTCAGTTCCAGACATGAAGGGTGACCAACAGTCATTGTCTTGGGTTCCTCTGGTTTCTGATCTCTTTCTGACCAGTAACCTGGTCTTCTTAAAATAATTTTGCGTTTTATTCCACATTTTTCTCCCACTATCTAG